TGGGGCTCCCCAAGGCCCCAGCCAGAGGCAACCCCACCATGGGTCCAGTCCAGCCTGAGCCCTCTGTCCTGTGCCAGGTCCAGTGACAAACGCCTTCATCGTGCTGGCCCCTGCCAACATGTTCAACCCCGAGGGGAAGCCCAGCATGCCCCTGCCCAAGTTCAGCAAACACCTGCATGGCACGGAGAGCACGGACGAGCCGGGCAGTGAGGGGGTGACGCTGCGCCTGGGGTTGCACCAGCAGGTACTGGGGCGAGCGCCCTCTGTCCTGTGCCAGGTCCAGTGACAAACGCCTTCATCGTGCTGGCCCCTGCCAACATGTTCAACCCCGAGGGGAAGCCCAGCATGCCCCTGCCCAAGTTCAGCAAACACCTGCATGGCACGGAGAGCACGGACGAGCCGGGCAGTGAGGGGGTGACGCTGCGCCTGGGGTTGCACCAGCAGGTACTGGGGCGAGCGGGGGGGCTGAGGAGGGGCACAGATGTCAGTGAGGGGTTGTGATGGAGCAAAGCTTCTCCTCCAGCTGGTGAAACCCGTTCCTGCTCCCTCCCCGTCCTGGCTGCTGCAGTCATTTGTCCTCCCAGCACTGCTGCGGTAAGGGCTGGCTCTGCTGTCCCAACACTCCCTTGTTCCCAGTGTGGCCACCCCAGGCAGAGGGTCCCACACCATTGGTGTCCCATCCATCCTCTCCGTCAGCGGTTCCGCTCTGCCGGTGTCTGTCCCTGGGCGAGTGACAGTGACAGTCCTGCTGTGGCTGATGGGCAGGTGGCAGTGGTCATGGGGGGCTTTTTGCACAGTGAAGGGTAGTGGGGTCACCCTGGCTTGGAAGAGGGTCAGTGTCTGTTCTGCCAACTCCTCCGGTCTGGTCCTTGCAGGAGCCCGGACAGAGCTACCTGGAGAAGGCAGAGAGGATGTATGCACAGATGTACTCGACGAGGGAAAAGGTGAGAGCTACTCCCAGACAGGGAATAGGGTGCAGACCCCTCGGGAGGTCCTGATGTGGTGATCTGGCTTGTGGCACCTCGGACAAGTTGGGGACAAGGGAAGAGCTCTGGAATCTGCTGGTGGCAGGGGCAGGAGAGGCTGTGCTTTGAGGCCGAGGGAAAGGACTAAAGGGTTTAGGGCTTGCTGCCTTCACCTGCCAGAGGTGAGACCCTGACGCTTGTCTGTTGCGTTTTCCTGTCACAGAACCTGGTGGGAGACCAGGAGCACCTGACGATCCAGGTGAGCGAGCTGGAGGAGGAGGTGAGCACCCTCCGGAAAATCAACAAGAACCTCTTTGACTTCTCCGCTCGCAT